TGAAATTAATACTACTGATAAGACTATCCCTGAATTATTTTTTAATTTTATTTTTTATGAAAAATAATCTCCTAATTTAAAATTATATTACATATTTCACAATGAGAATATAAGTTGAGAAATTATTCACTCTTTGAATGCATAACTGGCACACAAGTTTTTATTTAGGGCACATAACTCTATTATATTAATTAATCAAAATATTATTTTTATTTTATAGGAATGAAGAATATTGAATAAGTAATCAGTTAAAAGACAAAATATATTATCTAATGAGTGAAGAATCCATGAAAAAATAAAAAGTCTACAGACAACACATGTAAAAATATAAGAATATATGTGTTTTTGTAGTTTTTTTTTTTAAATATTACAATTGATTTGAAAAAAAAAAAATCCTATATGATGTAGTTAATAGAATGTTTAGTGAAATAGTACCTATAATCAGAAAAAGCATGTTAGTTCCTATAACAAGAATAGACTAATAAAAAGAGAGACTAAATTAATAGTAGCAAAAAATACCTTTAGTTCATTAAGACATTGGAAAAACTATCTAGCTAAGAACTACCAACAATGAAGGCTTGTGAAATAGTACCTATAATCAGAAAAAGCATGTTAGTTCCTATAACAAGAATAGACTAATAAAAAGAGAGACTAAATTAATAGTAGCAAAAAATACCTTTAGTTCATTAAGACATTGGAAAAACTATCTAGCTAAGAACTACCAACAATGAAGGCTTTCGTGAAGTTGTTCTCGTATTTATATTTTTTTGTCACATTTCCTTTGTGAAATATATTTAAAAGTTGAAAATAATGCAAGGATTATTTATAAAAAAAATATTAAAGATATTAAATAATATTTTTCAAAGTTGTGATAAATTTAAATATTCATGTTTACTGCAGATAAATTAAAAAAGATAAATTACTTTAAAATTGATTTTAAATTGATATGAGAAGATGTATAAAAGAAACTTAATATACAAAAAAAACTTTTCTGAAATTGTTTTGGTATTTATATATATATATATATATTTCATATTTCTTTTGTGAAATATATTTAAAAGCTGAAGATAATGTAAGGATTATTTATAAAAGATATTAAAGATATTAAATAATATTTTTAAAAGATATGATAAATTTAAATACTCATATTAACTGTAAATAAATTGAAAAAGATAAATTACTTTAAAATTGATTTTAAATTAAGATAAGGTAATATATAAAAAAAACTTTTCTGAAGATGTTTTGGTATTTATATACTTTTTTCACATTTTCTTTGTGAAATATATTTAAAAGTTAAAGATAATACAAGGATTATTTATCAAAAATATTAAAGATATTAAGTAATATTTTTAAAAGTTGTGATAAATTTAAATACTCATATTAACTTTACATAAATTAAAAAAGATAAATTATTTTTAAATTGATTTTAAATTAAGATGAGATAATGTACATGAGAAAAATTTTCATTAAAATTTAAATTGATTTTTAATTAAATTTTAAAATTTTAGATAATTAAATAATTTTTAAAATATATTTTTTATAAATAATTTAAAATTAATAAATATCTTATGTATTATCATAATGAAAAATTTTAAAATTTATCTTACATGTCAAAAAAAAATTATTTATATAAGCGTTTACATTAGCGATTGTTATCTAAAAACTATATATGTTGTAATAATATATATATATATATATATATATGATTTCCAGCATAAACATGGTTAAATTGAAAAATTAGCCGCATCTATATTAAACGTTGCTATTACTTAATATATAAAAATTTGGACCGTCAGAGAAAAAAATAAAGCGTGTTTTCATATTTTGTAGCAGTATTTTTATTTACAAACGTCATTAATTTTCAATTATTTTAATGACGTCCATGTGTTTTCTTTTATGACTTCTGGGTTTTAAAACGCTGTTATATTGAAAAATAAAATGTTACTGTTTGAGATTGACTTCCAATTACAAATCCTTTTGCAAAGAGCACCTGGCAATGACTGGCGCATAAAGGATCCTTAGTTCTCTTAAATGAAAAGGCTCCAAGATTTTATCTTTCATGGCCCAAACTGAATGTGATTAAAGAAAAACATTCCCGTTATGGGGCAAAATAGCAACTTGAATCCAATCCATTTACCCGCACCAATGCCTACAGTGTTGTGGTTTATAAAATTGTAAGTTCTATAACAATTTTTTTAATTTTATAAATTAAAAAATTATCATATAAAAACTAAAATATTCATTTATCATTTAAAAAATTACAAGGAACACTAAGCTTATAATGCTTTTTTATTTTTAGTTTTTTAAAAATTTTTTATTTTTGTTTTAGTCTCTTTTAAAAAAAATAATTTTTAATGAAAATAATGCAAAAATCAATAAATAATATGAAACGATAATAAATATTGACACAAATGATTAAATTTTAAAATTTGGATACATACCACTTAAGTTTGAGCTTTCATTATTTTTGGTTGGCAAATGATCTTCGAAAAAATTGAAAAGATTTTATAAATCTTTTAATGGATTGATGGTTTGTCTTGATTTTGAATATGAGATAATCTCCTCAATTCTTAAATTTTAAAAATTTTAAAAAATTTTAAAAATAATTAATATGGAACAATTAAATTAAGTATGATTTTAAAATCATTTTGAAAATCATATTTAATTGATACGAGTCAATAAAAAATCCAACTGATAACAGGTTTTTTCATAAACCTATGAATCAATCTTTGGTTTTGTCAAGCCAACCGTATAAAACGGTTCGAATATTAAACCGACTCGAGTCGGGAGGTGCGCCATCGGCTTAACTGGGGATTAATGATTATAGAAACCCACGTATCCTCAACTTGTAGGATTCGAAAATTAAATTTAGCCCAATTTCAATTCTATTTAATTGGACACTGAACAAGATCCAATGTACGAAACTTTTGAATTTTTATAGCATTTTACCTATATCTATATTAAAAAGAACGAATTCCAAAAGTATAAATAATAAACATATACCCTTAATAATTTATTAATTAACTATTTCATTCTTAACTAATGATATTTTTATTAAATTAAATTATTAATTAGTTTTTATTTATTTCCTTATTAACATTAACATTGAATTCCTTATTAAAGTAAATTTTCCTTAATTGATAATTTTCTTCTTAAATTGACTTGTTTTATCTATTTATTTCCAAATTTATTTAATAATTGAGAATCCCTCTAAGTCATTAGAATTTTTATTTTTGCTGCTCCTTCTTAAGGCCGACTTGTGATTAGTTTATTTAGATGTATTTACACGGTGCAATATGTATGCATTACAATGGTTTATATGTTTGTAATGAATGTTAGTTACTTACCATTATTTTGTCTAATTCTATGGACTTCGGATCTCGTATTGGATCAAACAATCCTAATCATGAATCATTTTCAATTTGAAATGAAAAAAAAAAGAAAAAATCTATCCCATCAAAATGCAGGAGTCAATTGAAAAGAAATAAAATAAATTGTATCTAGAAACAAAATTCTTGTGTTATAAGATGATCTACTTCCTTATTAGAAAATAATTTAAAACTATAATTAATTTCTATAAGTCCTCACTAATCCTGATTAATTTAAAATTCTAAATGAATTTATTTTTAAAAAATTTTAAATGAATTCATCTAAAATAAAAGAAAAATGACTCATCATTTCATCTTAATTTATATTTTCATTCAATAAATCAAGTCAATTTATGTTTCAAATAAAACATTTAAATGTTAATATTGATTCTACGAATCAAGTGAATGTATTTTTTCAATAATTTAAGCACGGACTTGGAACACCTGCAAAATATTTTCTCATGGAAAATATATTTCATATTCATCATCTTTCAAATGTTGCACTCAATTGCAGATATATTTCTTTTTGACCGATTTCGAAATACAAAATGTTCAGCATAGAATATGCAAGTCAAATCTTCACCGTCCAATGCTAATTTGTTCCCCACTTAAGTAGGATATGATTTTAATACGAGTTTATGAATAATTTAATTGGTCAGCTGATCTACAGCAAAGGCCACTATGCTTGTGATTCATGTCAAAATTACTTCCAGGCCACAACTTTTATGAATAGAGATTACATGTGATTTTACAGTGAAGATTTGATTTGCATATTCTATATTAAACATTTTGTATTTCGGCCTCAGTCAAAAAGAACTGCCTCTGCGGTAGAGTGAAACATTTGGTAGATGAAAAATATGAAAGATTTTCTCAGTGAATTATAACATTTTGAGCGTTCGTACCTAAATTATTGAAAACATAGATTCACGTGATAAGCGGAATAAGAAAATATATAAAAAAAAAAAAATTATAACAAACGATTATATTCTTTATCAAAAACATAAATCGACTTAATTTATTGAACAAAAATATAAAAATAATATGATAAGTCAATTCTTTTTGTTTTATTTTGGATATATTAGTTTGGAATTCTAAATTAATTATGATTAGCAAGGACTTATAGAAATTAATTATAGTTTTAAGTTATTTTTTAATAAGGAAGTAAACCATCTTGTAGACTTATAATACAAGAATTTGGCTTCTAGATACAAGTTATTTTCTTTTTGCAATTGAGTCCATTTTGATGGGATGGATTTTTTTTTTTTTTTTCAAAATGGCAAATGATCCATGATTAGGGTTGTGTAATCCAATACAAGCATTAATCTTATTTATCCAAAACGGATCCTTTGATTTATGTCCAAATGTGAAAACAATTTTTTATTCTTTCACGGTAGGTTCCAAAATGCATAGGATCAGGTCGAATAATGGTAATTAACTAATATTCGTACCAAAAAAAAAAAATAAGTAAATTTTTGCAGTGAAATCTGGTGTTTCTTGTAGTTGAGATGATTCCCGCATATAAGAGACCAAACATTAGGTTATCCACAAATAGAACTCAGAAAACCTAAAAGAGTTTCTGGAGCAGGAAATTCAGATTGGCTAAAAATATAATCAAAACTCAAATATGAGGCCGCCATGTCATATTTTATTTCAATAGCAACAAGACAAGCCAGCTTTCTTAGGAGACAGATAACAGCAAACAAAGACAGAACAAAAGCATAAAGAGCTCAGGTAAACCTCACTTAAACTATACCCTGACACCAGGAAAGCTGAGTTATGATGATGAGAAGACTGAATAGAAGGCATGCAAGAAAAGAAAGATTACATGGAAGTGGGGAGGCTGTGGCCTAACATGCTCGAGAACATGGGCCTCATATTTCATCCAGTTCGAGGATTGAGGTTCATCTGCACCATTGTGACAGGACAGAGAAGTTTTTGTGTAAAGATACATTCTTTCATTTTTCTGAACTGAAATGGTTTTATCTGTAAAACTGTACTAAAAAAGCTGATGTTCTAACTAGGATGATTATGACAGAAGAGATCTTGTTTCGTCTAAGTTTTTGCCAAAATTTATATATATTTTTTATTTTGGCATATGCGATCATGGACAAGCTATATAATAAGAGGTAATTCTCTCTTATCTCATAAATCTCATCTTGTTCATCTCAGGATTTGAACCCGAGACCTCGAAACTGAACAAATTCAAAGGGACAAAACTTGAAGTTGCGATAAGCTGTCTCCTAGTCATCAACTAATATATGAGTCCAAGTTAAAGCTTGTATTAAACAAGAGTTTTATGAGATTTGAAAACTCTCTCAAAATAGAGATCATACTTTTTGCCTCAATAATCTCCCCAGCTTCATTCTTCCTCAATAACATCCTTCTTTTGGCATTGATTTCTTAACCTCTACATTCTCTTTTCGGTGGCTACCTTTAACCTCTTTTGATGGATCCCTTCAAACACTTTCTGAGCACAGAAGGATGCAGCAGCAGTGAATCAGGTTGGACAAGGTACTTAGCCTCTCCTATGCAAGATGATTCTGAATGCAGTGAAAACAATTATAGCAACAATCACAATATCAAAGACGATGTCGATGATGGTGAAGGAAATAGTGATGATTCAATGGTATCTGATGCCTCTTCTGCCCCAAGTCATCATCAGTACAAACACAAGGATGGTCCAGGTAGTCATAGCAATACTCATGTAAAGCCTGACAAGAGTGATTATACTAGCAAGCATTATTCGTCACGCAAGGAGGTGAAGAAAGAAGTGAAAAAGAGTGGTGAAAACAGTGGAAAATCCAAAAAGAGACTCGATGGTCAAGCGAAGAATCGCAAGTAGCCAGGTTGAGAGCCTGAAAACATGGTAGAATTCAATGGAGCTTATAGACAATAAGCAAAACATATTTTCTTTTCAAGGTTTCTTCCAAGAATATATGATCACAATATGTTGCTTATTTCTTTCAGTACTTAGATGCAATCGTTTTGCAAAGTTTTTATGATTCAAACCACAAATGTTATATCTTTGATATCAATTCACAAAGAAGATTACAAAATTGTCTCCATTTAACATGTTTCGCTAATGAATTGATTCATTGCATTTTGACTTCAGTTATTAGATCATCGTCATCGGGTCAAAGCAGCGAGCTTAACTGAATCAGAAAAGAAAAGAAAAAAAAAACAATTTTTAGCAGGGGAGAAATAAACTTCTTAACAATAGTGTGTTGATGTCTATTCAAGTGTTTGTATATGCAAAGCCATGAACAAAAAAGAGTATGGTAAGCTGGAAAGAAGAAAGATCTAGTCAGACAGACAAATGACAACTATGAGGAGAAAAGAAGCCATTTTTAATGACAGAACATTGGCCATTTATATATAATTGATCCTATAAGATGAAATGCAAGTGCAACAGCTAGGAAACAAAGTCAAAAAGAAAAAGGAATAGCAAATATAAACATATTCCATTGTTACTGATTGAAAGCCATGCTCAGGAAAAGCTATATTCTGTTCTAATAAGACAAATACAAGATGAATGAGCAAGCACAATGGAAGACCACAACGAAAAGCAAATTGACACACATGGCAAGAGCTTTGTATTTCACCCCTAGATGCTGACAATGGAATTATAGATTCAGATTTGGTTTGTCGACAGCAAAGGTCAAAAGGAGCTATATCAGATAAGGACAAGAAAATATTTTATATATTTTCACTGTCTTCTAAGTTTGTGTGGAAATATCATGATATTGTTATATAATCTAAACTGTTAAATATTAATAGATTTGAATTTATGTGATGAGATTGTTAGGTAGATATAAAGTTTAAATTTTAAAATTTAAATTTTAGTCTATTTAAATCCTTGTAATTCTCATGTTAATCAAGAAGAAGTTATCTTCTTTTTCTCTTCTGTTCTGTTTTATTATGTTTAGATGGTATCAGAGTATTGAGATTTTACTTGAAAACCGTGATGGTCAAAATAGCTATGATCGGAGAAAAAAGCACAGTACCCACAAGTGCAGCTAACGGAGGTGTTTTTGCTGTAAATATTATTGGATTTGAAAATCCATTTATCTAATTGACCATTCACAAACCAAATGGTAAAAATTATTTAGAATGGGTGCAATCAATTAAGCCTATGATTAATGATAAAGGAAAGCTCTACCACTTAACAAGTGAGGCAAAGAAACCAACTAGCAATGACCCAACATTGAAGACACGAAGATCTAAGAATTCTTCAGTGATTGCGTAGCTTTTAAATTCCATGGAGCTAGCAATTGGAAAAGCCTATTTGTTTTTACCAACTGTGAGAGAAATATGGGAAGTGGTTTAAAAGACATACTTTGATCTGGAAAACTCTTTTTAAAATTTTGAGTTGAAGACTAAACTATGGCATTCTAAACAAGGTGATCAAAAGGTGACAGAATATTGCAATGAGATGAAAGCATTGTGGTGAGAGCTGAACTTGTGTTATGAAGAAGATTGGGAGTTTGCAGTTGATAATGTAAGATACATGAAGATGATGGAAAAATGACAGAGTATATTTTTTTTAGCAAGGCTGAACAAGAACCTAGATAAGGTTAAAGGCCAAATTCTTGGCAAGAAACCATTGCCAACTCTTCGTGAAGTGTTTGCTGAAGTAAGAAGAGAAAAAGGCCGACGAAAAGTGATGTTGGGAGAGAATAACCAACTTGCTACCGAAGCTTTTGATCTCGCCACTAAAACCCAATCTTATAATCAATTTGGACAAACACAGTAGAATAAAAAAAAAGTGAGAAAGTGTGGTGTGATCATTACCACAAGCCTTGACACATAAGATATACATGTTAGGAATTACATGGGAAACCACAGAATTGAAAGCCAAGATCATCCAACTGTGAATCAAGAGCATTTCAAATAGATATTAAGGAGTAAGCAGGAGCCAAATAAACATCTCCTTTCAGTAAGGAATAGGTAGACCAACTATATAAACTATTTCAATCCACACAATTCTTAAACAATATGTTTTTTTCTTGTTCTTTAGCCCAAAAAGGTAATCATCTTCACACTATTGCTTTTAACGTGTTCTCCATTACTAGTTGTCCATGGATCATCAATTCTGGTGTAACAGACCATATGACAAGTTGTTCTAAGTTGTTTTCTTCTTATAGCCTGTGTGCAGGAAATCAAAAAATTAAAATTACCAATGGTTCCCTTTCAGCAATTGCTGGAAAAGGATCAATAGTTATTTCAAAATCTCTTATTCTTCATAATGTCCTCTATGTTTCAAACCTCTTTTATAATTTGCTATCTATTAGCAAATTAACTTGTGATTTAAAATGGTGTTAAATTATTCTCAATTCATTGTGAATTTCAGGAATTGGACTCGAAAAGAATGATTGGCAGTGCTAAAGAAAATGGTAGACTATTATTTTGAAGATGGAAGTACCATGTGTGGACAAGTTCAAATGACTCATCTTGGGTCAATCTCTATCCCTAATAACAATGACATAATGTTGTGGCATCTTAAGTTAGGCCATCCTAACTTTCATTATTTGAAGTCCTTGTTTCCATATTTATTTAAGAATAAAAATCCATATTTTTTTCAATGTGATATTTATCAAATTGCTAAGTATCAATTCCTATTCAACCTTATAAGTCCTCTAAGCTATTTGCTCTTACTCATAATGATGTGTGGAGTCCTTGTAGAACACCAATAATTTCTAGAAAAAGATGGTTTCTAACATTAATTGATGATCATAAAAGGATTTGTTAGGTTTATCTACTCAAAGAAAAATCAGATGTCGATGTTTTCAAAAATTTTTATAATATGATTGAAACAGAATTTCAAGAAAAAATTCAAATGTTTCAAAGTGATAATGGTAAAGAATACTTTAATCAGATTCTTGGAACATATTTTTTGAAAAAAAAGGATTCTTCATCACAGATCTTGTATTGACACTTCAAAATAGAATGAAATAACAAAAAGAAAAAAATAAGCATCTCTTTGAAGTAGCTAGGTCTTTGATATTTACAACTAAAGTATCTAAATACTTATAGGGGGAAGCTATTTTTACTACTACTTACCTGATTAATAGAATGCCATAAAGAGTATTGAACTTTCAAATACCATTAAATATGTTTAAAAAATACTTTTCAATGTCACGTTTAGTATTTGATTTATCTCTTAAAGTATTTAGATGTGTTGCTTTCATGCATGTGCATAACCATAACCATAGTAAACTTGACCCACAAGCTATAAAATGTGTTTTTCTTGGATAATCTTCAACACAAAAAGGGTATTGCTGTTTTCAGCCTTAAATAAAAAGGTTTTTATAACTATATATGTCACTTTTTTTTTTAATTTCAAAGTCTTTTTGACACTCCTCTTTAGGGGGAATAGTTGTGAAGACTCATTGTTTGAATTTGAAGGTAAAAACACAAATTTTTTACTACAACCAAATACTTTAATGAGTTTGGATTTTGGAGTTTCAAATTTAGAAGTGGAGTAACCTACTCCATTGCTTATAAATGAAATAAAAACTAGAACAAAGAATAGCTCAAGAAATAAAGAGGAAGGTTCTAAGTTTATTGTCTACTCAAGGAAAAAAATATTCAAAAGAAATATGACATCACAACCTTACAAAGCCAAAAATTTAATAAGAGGCCAAATCCAAATAACACGATTTCTTTAAATCCATGTACCTCTTATGAATCTGATTTTTTATAAATTAATATTTTTAAATTTATAGATATTTCGATTGCTCTTAGAAAGGGTATTAAAACATGTTCAAAGTATCCAATTTCTAAATATATGTCATATAAAAATCTATCACCTTATTTTTATGTTTTTAACTGACAATTGTCTAGTGTGGATATTTCTAAGAATATACAGGAGACTTTAATTATTCTTGAATGGAGAGATGAAAGCTTTAGAAAAGAATGGCACATAGGAAAAGGTTAGTTTGCCAAAAAGGAAGATGCTTATGGGATGTAAGAGGATGTTCACTATAAAATTTAAATCAGACGCGACTTTGGAGCGTTATAAGGCAAGGCTAGCAGTTAAAGGTTTTACACAGGCATATGAGATTGATTACCAAGAGACATTTACTCCAATTGCAAAATTAAATACAATGTGCGTACTTTTGTTCGTGGCTATAAACTTGGAATGGTCATTACATCAATTGGATGTTAAAAATGCATTTCTTAATAGCAACTCAGAAGAAAAGGTCTTTATGGATGCTCTACCAAGATTTCAAGACAATTTTGGGTCTAAAGCATGTAGGTTAAATAAGTCTTTATATGGTTTAAAACAGTCTCTAAAGTCATAGTTCAAGTGATTTACAAGGTCAATCAAGAATCAAAGCTATAGTCAAGGACAAATAGATCATACGATGTTTATGAAGCATACTAATGGTGGGAAGATTGCAATTTTGATTGTCTATGTAGATAACATAATCCTTACAGAAAGTGATGATGCTGAGATAACTAGATTAAAAAGATGCCTTGTAGCAGAATTTGAGATCAAAGATTTAGGACCATTATGGTATTTTTTAGGAAAGGAAGTTGCTAGATCAAAAAAGGGAATTGTTGTATCACAAAGGAAGTATATCTTAGACTTGTTAAAAGAGACCAGAATGAGTGGTTGTAGGCCAAGTAATACATCAACAAACCTAAACCAAGAGATTGAAAGAAAAACCCAAGGAGTGCAAATTAAAAAAAGAAGGCCTTGTAGGAATACTAATCTATTTTTCTCACATAAGGCTGAACATTGCAATTGCAGTTAGTGTTGTAAGCCAGTTTAAGCACTCACCATATAAATAACATCTTAAGTTAGTGTACAGGATTTTGAGATATTTTAAGAATACACTTGCGAAAAGATTATTGTTCAAGAAAAACCATTTGAGAGGTGTGGAAGTTTTCATATATGTAGATTGGACAAGCCTAATCACTGATAAAATATCAATGTTTGGTTATTATGCATTTATTTGGGATAATCTTGTTGCTTTAAGGAGTAAGAAGCAGAACGTAGTTGCATAAAGTAATGCAGAGGCAGAATTTCAAGTAATGGCTAATGGAGTATGTGAGATGATGTGGCTGAAGCGAGTTCTTGAAGAACTGTAGCTAGAATCAAAACCTCATATGAA